ACGTAAATATTCCAGGATAGTCATTAGTCCTAGATATGGGGAAAATTGGCAATTCTTTTAATCACTATTACTGTTGGTTTGAAGTTCAAGCTTTTTTGATGCAGGTCAGTTAATTAGCCAGAGCCCAGGGAAATTCATTAGATATCCCCTGGTTGAGTATTCTTCCTTCCAAGTTGACTTCACATTATGTATTTTATTGAACGCCCAATAATGCTTAATTTTTATGATTTGCTAAGTAATACTGATACAATTTTTAAAATGAGAACATTATCTGGGGATCTTGGTATCTCAACAAAAACTGCTGAGCAGTCACTTTTTCCTAATCGCACATGGTTGGAATGAATGGATATTCTTCTCTGTAAAGCCATTTCTCTAGCTAAATATTTGCTTTTGGGGAAATTACTCAGGGACCCAGACACAGGGGCATACGGCATTTTGCATTTTTGCTTGGATTCATTTTTTTAGGTCCATGATCTATTCCCTTCGAATTATCAAACACGTTTGGTAATTTACAAGTTTTTCTTATATATTCAAATGAGGAAAAACTTAGGCTACCTGAATTCAAAGAACCTTAGAGTTGGTTAGTACCTTAGGAGGTTACTTAATCCAATTCTCTGATGTTATGGAGGGAAAGATTGAGGCTCAAAGATTGTAATAACCTGCCTTAGGTCATATAGCTAACTAGTAAGAAAGGTGAATTTCAAACCCAGCACTACTAACTTCTTAGTCCAGTGCAGATTTCATTATAACACAGTGCAGGCTTTCTTTTTCTTTTTCTTTCTTTCTTTTTTTTTTTGGTGTGTATGTATGCGTTTTGAAGGGGGTAGGAGGAAAAAGAAAGAAAAAGAAACTATAATTGTAAAAAGATACCATTTTACTATTATTACCTCTGGCCAAACATTTATAGATTGCATCACGCCCTGTTATTACTAAAAAATCTTGCAACCCTACCTACAACCTGTTATTACTAAAAGAAATACAGAATTTAATTATCTGGCCAAAAGCTTGTTTACTTACCAATAAAAAAAATAAAGTAGGGGTGGAAGCAGACACTTTATACAAATGGGTTGAAAAGAAATCTAGGTTGCAGATGAATCCATGTTATAATCCATGTATAATATATATAGTTTAGATTATATTTTAATAATTTAGCTCTGAGAAGCTATATGCTATAGGACTGCATGCATTACAGAAGTACGCTAAAGTCCCATTATAATGCCTTCAGGTTTCAACCTACGAGACATCACTAGAGACTTGTCATAATGAAGGGTTCCTGGTTTTTTTAAAAATAAGGAATGTTTGTGACTGTGGTCTATGAGAGAAATACCTTTTAAGGAATCCTATATAACAGCCTGTTATGATGTGGCAACACACATACACACAAATATTTTAACGTTATTGTGTTTTAGCACAGTAAAAATTTTATCAAAATTTAAAATGAGAGAGAGCGTTACACTATTGACTACCTACCATCCCAAACACTGTCCTATGTATTTTGCACTATTATCTAATTTAATCCTCACAACTCTGGAAAATATTATTATCTTATTTTTATAGATTGAGAAACAAAGACTCAAAGAAATTAGATGCTTTGTCTAAGATCACATAGTTCATAATACAGAAACCTGGGAATTGAACCCAAGGGTGTTTGATTCTAAAGCCACTGGACTATTCTTAATGCCCTGTTGCTATTACTCAAATTTAGAGTGAAAGCTGAAATTTCTAGAAATTTCCTTAGCAAATCAAGTCACTCACTCACTCCTTGTCCTACCATTAAGTGTCTAAAAGTATGTTGGGCTCAAGTCACTCATCCATCTAATCACTTATCCATCACCAAATAGATATGAAGTGCCTGCTATGTCTATGCATTATACTTAGGCATTGGGAATACATCGATGAGTGAAAAAGAGGTCATCAAGTCCTTTGGCATAGAGGAACGAGTCATTAATTAAATAGTCATACAAATAAATGTAAAATTACAACTGTGTTAAGTATTATGATAACTTAAGAGTTAGTAGCTCTGGGTCTGAAATTTAATATGACACCACTGTAGTGTCTAACAAGGTCTGATTCAGTCTGGAGGGTCAAGGAAGGTTTCTCTGGGGAAACGATGACTGAGTAGAGATCTGGAGAATAATTAAAATTACTTAGGTGAAGAAGATTGTTCTAGATTGAGGGAACAATATGTGCAATGATCCTGTGGTGAGAGAAAGCACTGTATTTTTGAAGACATGGAAGAAGGGCAGTGTGGATGTAGCAGAGAGAGCAAAGGGAAGCACCACAGTGCATCAGGCAAGAGACAGGAGCAGCTAGGTTGCACTAGGGCTTGTAGACCATGTAAAGGATTTTAACTTTTATCCTAATAGCAGTGAGAGGCCACTGAATGGCCTTAAGATGGGAGATAACATGAACAGATTTACATTTTCTAAAAGCTCATGCTAAAATGGGAGAACTCACCCAGAAGAAGAAAGAGTAGATACAGGAAGACAGTTCTGAGGCTACAGAATTAGTCTTGGCAAGAGATGATGATATCTTAATCTAAAAAGGTAAAGTAGAAATCAAGAGAAGTGGGTGGATGTGAGATATATTTAGGGGTATAAAAATGACAGAACTCAGTAATAACTTGAATGTGGGAAGTGAAAGAGATTTCAAAAATGACTCAGTTACCTGGTTTGTATGATTAGATGAACAGAGAATATTTAAAGAAGATCAAATTTAGTAGGAGGAGGAAAGAAGAGGAGAAATCTTGGGGTCAGTTTGGCTATATTAAGCTTGAGATGCCTTTGAAATATGTAAATGACTTAAGATGAATCCAGAGCTCAGAGTAGAAGTATAGATTAGAGCTATAAATTTCTGAGTTGTCTGAAAATAAATAGTGAACTGCAGGTACAGATGAAGCCACCCAGGAAGAGAAAAGAAGACCTAAAATGGAGCCTTGAGAAATTCCAACATCTAATGGATTAGTAGAAGAGGAAGAACCTGTATAGGAGATTGAGAAAGAATAACTCACTGAGTAAGGAGGAAAACTGGGAGATGTCACAGAAGCCAAGCGAGGAGAAAATTTTAAAGATAAAGTATTAATAGTGCTGAATGATGCTGAGAGGTAAAGTAAAAAGAAGATGTAAAAATTTGTCAGATTCAATAACATGACAATTATTACTGATACTAGAGAGAGCTACTTCAGTGGTATAATAGGGGTGGAAGTTGCATTAGAGAGAATGAAGAATGAGCAGTAGATGCCATGGTAGTTATGAAAAACTCATGTGCCATCCTGAAGAAGAGTTTTGTTTCAGAAAGCAAAACTTATACAGAGACTACAAAAAACAGACATAATGCTACCAGTCTTACTCATTCTTTAAACACTGTAGAAATCCAGAAAAGGAAGGCTCAAGGTGACTCAGTAACTCAGGAAATTCTTTACAGAAAAGGAAAGCCTTTAGCAGAGTATTTAAGAAGTGCAAAACTGGATGGATGAAAAGTGCTCAATTGGGGAAATTACATGAAAAGAATATGGTGTGTGGGGGTGGGAGGAGATAGAAGTGGGATGGGGTAGAGTGATAAAAAAAAAAAAGAGATATAGACATAGTCCTATGTTTTGTGATGTAGGTCAAATACTGAATTATTTAGGATTGAATAATGTATGCCCTAGTCTCTCATATTTTTTGCTGCCAACCTGTTGGCCAATTCATTTCTCGAAATCAATTATATAAAGGATTGGTAGGGAAAAGAAAAATAAGAATCAAAGATCAATTATGTTGTTCATTAGATGTGAAAAGTGGGTATGAGTAAAATCAATGGCTAAAATGTAACTTTATATCTGTGATTTTGAGACAGTGGGATAGAGTAGAAAAGAACACAGACTTCAGAGACAGATATAATCAGGTTTGAATACTCGGTCACTTACTACCTATGTAGCTTTGGGAAATGCAATTTGTCTCTTTGCACTTCAGTTTTTCATCTGTAAAATGGGAGAAGCAATAAGTTTCTTGGCAAGGTTGCTTCAGGACTTAGAGATGAGATGGTAATGCTTGCCTCATTGGCATCTACTAATTGGTGGCTACTACTGTTTCAGTAGTACTATAAGAGAAAAGAGGAAGTGCATTCAAAGAGTTAACCTTGTATATCTAAGATGGGGACATTATATTTACTGGAGAGCCTTGATCTACATTTTTCTACTAGTATTTATCTAAAGACAAGTGAAAAGAACCAAATAGGAAAGTTTAGTTTTTGGACCTTTTTTGAGATAAACATGTTTGTATCATAGACTTTTGTAATTAATGATATTAAGTATATAACTATTCAATAGTCAAATACATTCTTTTTTCATACAACTGATAATTTTTATGAGAGAAGAGACAAAAAAAATAAATAAATAAAAAGAAGGAAAAAGTAAACCGAAGAATAAAAAAGCAACTAAAGAGTGATAAAAGAATAGAGGATAAGAAAGGCTAAAGAGAGCAGACAGAGAGAAGAGACAGAACAGAATGACAGAAGAAGCCCAAACCGCTATGATCCCTCCAGAGTTCTTCCCTCACTATTTCTATTTGAAAGCCAAACCATGTACTCTAAGCCTGCTCTGCCAAGCTTGCTCTTCCTTTTGCCTGATCATGCCACTGCTATCGTCTCTTGCCCAGCATACTCTCCAACTTCTGTAGTCTCCTAACCAGTATTCAGCTTGAGAGCAGACCTGGCATTACCATACAATGCTCTTGGCTACTTTCTCTAAGTTATTTAGAAAATAAAACAAAACATACTTACAATTGCATCTGCTAAACTAAGAAGGACATCTTTGCCATAGATATGAGGGAATATGTTTATAGAACATTGGGATCCTCTTTGAGAACACTTTTTTATAAGTGCCTTTGATAAACTTTATCATTTTAAGAGATGTAGAGTTATGGATTTAAGAAAATATGCCAAAGGATAAATGAAATTAAAACAAGGAAAAAAAGCCAGACTCTGAGATGACCAACCCCAATTTATTTAGTGTCTTTTCTTACTGTGTGTTGAGGGCCATCTTCATTATCCCTCATGTAGAAAGGCTTGAGTGCTAATGGGTAATTAATGACAAAGACTGGTATGTTGCCACAGTGCTTCACCAGGTACTTCTCATGTTCAGTATGTAGATCAATACCCCACTGTAACAGAAAAAAAAATTACCAAAGGAGAAGACAGAGCTGAAATAAACAATGCAGGACCTGAAAATAACCTGTATCATTTCCAAGGGCTTCCTCTCCCTAAAGATCAGTGATGTGTGGAGCTGTCTGCTGAGGTTACACAGATAATTAGAGAATATCCAAAGGCCTGGAAACATGAAGCTGAAACTAGTAGATAAATACTATGCTTTCCGTCCCCCATCTCAGGGAGCGGCATTTAGCAGATGAATAGCATCTGCAGGAAAACAAAGTGCACTTTCCATAGTGTATAAAAACTGACTTCGAATCATTGTTTTTATTAATATTGCCTAGAGCTTCTTCTACAGTTACTGTTCCTAAGTCTCAGGAAATTAAATGATGAAAGATAATATTTCTAATATTGAGTCTGGCTAGATGGCTTCTCTCTGTGAACGTTTTTTTAATAAAAGAATCAACTGATATATCAGATGCTCTTTGATGAATATTTAATAACATAGTTCATCTATTTATTCAGCAAATACTAATGTGCCTATTAAATCTCAGGTACCATGATAGGTATTGGATAAAGTGGTAAGAAAAATAGAATCCATGACTTCATTAAGTTTCTAGAGTAGGAGACAAACATTAAATACAAAATTATACAAAGAAATTAATTGATTATAAATATAACAAGCACAGGGAACTATTATGACCTATACGAGGATCTGATTTAACTGGGGATGAGACTGGTATAAGGAACAGTTTGAGAATAAAGGTATTACATTCTTAACATTATCTTATTACTCCCTCCTACTTGTATGGCAATATCTTAATTAGAGGAAAAAAAGCACTGGCATAGGAATTAGGAAACTTGCCTCTAACATTATGTGCGTGGCCTTGAATCATGTGGCCTCTCAGGACTAAATCCTTGCCAATAAAATAAAGAAGTTCTTAAAAACAAAACAAAAACAAACAAAATAACTGTGTTTTTCAATGTGTATCACAAATTAGAAGGCTCTATAATGTTCAACAGAAAAAGAAACCTGTTTAATGTGTTGCCTAAACTTGATCACATAACTTCTTTTGTCTGTCACCTGTTAATATCATTCAGAATATACTTTGGGAAACACTGAACTAGTTGATTTCTACACTAATAGTCTATGATTACCATTCTTTTTAAGAATTTTCATCTTCCTAAACTTGGGAAACTTCTTTATAATCCTTTATTCACTGCTATTCCAAATAATATGATTATACTTCAAAATTATTTTTCATTCTAAATATTTCAACAGGGTTGAACAAACATCAAAAAAAGCCAATGTATAGATAAGCAAATCCTATATACTGCTAATAAGAGAAATAAGAAAATTTTAAATAAAAACAAGAGGGAAACATTTTTATACTCTTTCTCTCTCTCTCCCCCTCCCTCCCTCCTTCCCTCCTTTCCTTCTTCCCTTCCTCCCCCCCTCCCTCTGTCCCTTCCTCCCTCCCTCTCTTTCTCTACCTCTGGGGTGAAGGTGAAGTTCTGGGATGCTTGCTTTAAAATCTCTACTGCTTCAGTGTAAGAAATGCTGGAGAGAAACAGAGTAAAAGCAGAGAAAGGTCAATACAATGGGCTGTTGTTAACGAGTCCACTGAAAACTAGAAAACGCCTATTCACATATAGTTTTTGAGATCATAAATAAGTATTAAATGATTATTGAGAAATCAGGAATTAAGGCTGATGTAGTTCTATGAGAGTCCTACCAGCATGAAGATAAGTGGTCATTCAATAACCCCACTCCTGATCTACTTGCAATATACACAGAAGAGCTAGTCACTTAAGCAAGTGAAGATTTTCTGAGTTTATGCTATGCCAATTCCATAATAAAAAGTATGAAATACTAAGGCTGGAAGAGCAAAGACTTTCCTTAAGTCATCATTCATTCATTCAGAAACATATATCGAGAACCTACTATGTGCTAGGCATTATTCTAAGAACTAGAGATACAGTAAATAAAAACAAAGGCCCTGTTTTTATGGAGTCAATATTTGTGTGTGTGTGTGCGCGCATGAACGCGTGCGCGCGTGGCGGGGGGTGGGTGGTGGGGAGTTAGTTGGGGGAGAAAGATAAGCAAATAAACAGAAATAAAATAATGCCAAAGAGCTAATGGTGCTGTAAAGAAAAACAAAACAAGGTAAGAAGACAGAGAGTGTTTGAAGGTGCCTCCCTGAGTTGGTGACATATGAACAGAAATCTGCATGAAGTAAGGAAATAAGCCATATAAATATCTGGGAGGAAGTATTCCAGGCAAAAGGAACAGCGAATACAAAGGCCTAAAATGAGGCCTGAGCTTGGCTAATTCAGGGAACTAAAATTTCAATGTGCCCATAGTATATTGAACAAGGGGAAGAATGCCAGGAAATTAGATAGGAAAGGTAGTTACAGGACAGAGCCTATGAACTCTTTCAGGCCACAGTAAGGGCTTTTTAATACATTCTAAGCATTGCTTAAGACTGTTTAGGAAAAAAATCATTGGTTACCTCAGAAAAAACCCTCATGCCTAAATCAAGCCAATCTAAGGATTTACTTTAACTGTTTGAGTAGGTAATATATGCACATAGTTTTAAAAAAACCAAGATGTATAAAAGAGTACACATCTCCCTTTCCTCCCTGTCCTATAGCTACCTGAAAAGTTTCTCTTTTCACATACAATCACTGTTAGTGGTTTCTTGTATATACTGCCAGAGGGTATGATACAACCATAAGCAAATATTAATATATAATCCCTCCCTTTTTATGGACGGCAGCCATAACATACATACCATAAACACTCTTTTCCATAATTGTTTATTCAATAATATACCTTGCAAATCTTTCCTTATCAGTATATGAAAAGCTTCATTTTTTTGAACTATTACATAATATTCCTTTTTCTAGATGTATCCTAATTAGTTTAACCAGTCATCTATTGATGAATAGACATGTTAGCTGTTTCCAATCTTTTGCTATTATATATCATGACTACATAAACCTATTTGATGTTATTACAAATTATCCTTATATACTAATTTTGCACATGAAAAAAATGGAACTGTTGGATAAAGGGTATTGCATTTGCAGTTTTTATATACTTTGAAAGACACTGCTAGATACTGCTCCCCTTTTATAGGGTTATACTATGTCCACCGATATTACATGAAAATGTCAGTTTCACTAGGTCTTCTCCAACAGTATTTTGGATGATTAAAAACAAAAATCTACAAACTTACTGAAGGACTTTGAGCTCAAAAAATAACTTATCCAACACAAATGTATTCTCTGAAGCAAAAATGAAGTTTATACCTGTAAACTAACTGGAAGGAGTTGTGTCTTATAGTACAAATAAAGCCCCCAAAGCTATGTTTTGAGTGATAAGTTTTTTCTAAGATGAATATTATATTCAAATTAAAATGTAGTATTAAATAACAGGTAATTTCTAAGGTAAGAATGGTGGCAGTGTTGATAATAGTAATAATTTTTAAAGGAGCATCTTACAGAAGGGAAACTGAAGTTTAAAGAGGATCAGTAACTTGGCAAAATCATTCATGTAAGTAGTAAACCCTGATTTGCCAATTTCAGAGTCCAAGCTTTTAACTGCTAAGATAATGCCTAAACCACTTGGAGTTCAATTCAAGTGTGTTCGATCCAAACAAAAGATAACGGTCTCCGGGTTCTCCCTCTGATTCTATTACCACCACTAGCTATGTAGATCACTTCACCATAACAGAAGCATTTTATAAATTTTGTAATGTGCTATACAAACATTAAAAAATTAAGTGTTTGCATTTGTAAATTAAGGAGATTGGACTACACTATTTAAAGTTCTTTTCTGCTTAGACATTGTATTGTTCTAGTCCATCACTAGTTGATATGATCTCATTATATTGAGAAATATAAAAGTAGTCAAAATGAAAACCACAAGGATTTTGTGTCATTGATATGTTACTGTTACATTAAGAAAAAATGACTCTCGTGTCTAAATATCTCTTGTAATTCTCGATCTTCTTCCATACTCCCCCTACACCTTAAGTTGAGGCAGGCTTTCACGTTCAAATTACAGTTCTGATACTGGATATCCTTAATGGCCTTCAACTTTCTCTACTAATTTTTCTTGATATGTATACAGAATATTTCTTCTCCTTCCCAGAAACTATTTCCAAAATGCTTTGAGGAAAGGAGAAGACATTATAAAATTGCATGAAACAGTATCGAATTACCTTTATATTTCAAATTTTTTATTGTTGAATGAAGAAAATTATCCTGAAGCTGTTAGAGTAAAACTGCTCTGTTAAAGAGATCATTATTAGCATTTTTTGCCTCAAATTCACACAGATAAATGAAAATAAAAAAGTAAATACTCTATAGATTAAAAACCCTAAATCTATAAAGGAAATATAATTAAATTCTATTTCTGCTTGATAAAGGCTAAATTCAATTACTACACAGATTCTTGAAATATTATTACATAAAACAATCAAAACATAGTCAGGTGTACTATTTATTTAAAATAGTACAAGTCATACGGTATCGTGTGTGTGTGTGTCTGTGTGTGTATTTTGGGGAGTGTCTCAATTCTAATTTATCATGCTTAGGTCTTCTCTCATGTCCTCTCATGGCTGTTAAACATCTCTGGTCTCAAAGACTGGCAACTCCTCCTCCCAACCCCCCGCCCCACCCAATATCCTGTACCCTCCACCTTGAGAATCCTTAGAATCATGTCATTTATGTATACTCCTCTGGTGTTCAGTTTTCTTTTCATTTCTAGCTCCTGGAACTCCTACTTTCTAATGAACTCAACAATGCATTTAAAAAGATTTTATAATATTTTAACTAATACTTTTATATCTTTATAGCAAGAGTGTTTCCAAGTTTCTAGTCTGACATACTGCTTAAACAGTATGGTCATTTAATCCTTTCAACGATAAGACAGCCAAATTATCACTTTATGGATAAGAAAACAAGTTCAGGAAGGTTAAAGATTTACAGTTAATTAAGTTCATAGTTGTAATGAAATGTTCATGCAAATATTGAACTATTCATCTTTTTCTCTAGATTTTAAATTTCATAACAAGAGCAATTCATGCCTATTTTCACTACTGAATCCTCAATGACTGGCACAGTGCCTAACTCATAGTAGTCAATAAGTATTTGTTGAAAAATATTAATTCATTCATTAATAGCTAATAAGTGGCAGAGCCAAGATAAGAATCCAGGTCCTCTGAATCACAGTTGTCTACACCTACTATCTAAAGTAAAAAGAGATATGAGTTAATAGGAAACTTCAGGGGGAGGACCTAGTCTAAGGAAGACCCTCACTCCCATGGTTACTCAAATGTCATTTATTCATTCACTCAGTTATTCAGTAAATATTTACTGAGTTCCTGTTAGAGGCACTGTGCTAAGCAATGGGAGTAGAATAGTTAGCAAAATAAATAAGTCCTTGACCACGCAGAGGTGATAGACTCTGAACAAATAATCACACATATAAAAACCTCAACCATGATGTGTGCTGTGTGGCATGGGTGATAGTGATAGCAATGACTGATATGGCACATCTCCTGAAGCCATTTCCCAGCCTTAGAATTTTACAGACATGGACTTCAAAGCATAACAGTTTAGTGATATACAAAGGTCTTAAGGACAGTGGGGGAGCTACAACTACTCTAGTGTTAATTTCAGTGCTCTTCCAAATACATAAAGGATAGTGGCTGAAGGCATGAGCTTTGAAATTAGATAAATAAGAGTTTGAATCTCCATTTTATCTTTACTCAATCTCTTTGAGTTGATTCTTCATCTATAAGATGGCAATAATAACTACTTATAGAGTTGAGAAGATAAATGAACCACTAATGTATGTAAAATTTATCACTGGTACACAGTAAATATTCAATAAATGGTAGATATATTTTTCCCCCTCTAAGATCTAATTCATTAGATAGAAGCTACATCACTTCTCTTAAGATCTTCTCCCTGGTTTTGTCATGAGCACAGATTCTTTGGGATGCCCAAATTACTTCTTTCCTTATCTACTTAATTACTTTTATCAATATACTTATGCTCAGAACTCTCCTGTGAACTTCAGATCTGTACACTCAAATTGCCTACCCAATATCTAAAACTGGATGTCTAAATGCTTCTTGATCTTAACCTGATGATGATGATCCTGATACCATTCCCTCTCTTCCCCCAAACTCCCAGCTACTCTTATGGCTTTCCCAATCTCAGTTAATGGCAACTCCATTTTTACAACCATGTAAAGCAAAAGCACTGAAGTCACCCTTGACTCTTCTCTCTCTTTCTAATTCTCCACAAATCCTGTTTGTTCTATCTTTAAAATATATCCAGAATAGAACAACTTCTTTCTACCTCCATTGTCACTACCCTAGTCTGTAATGGTTAATTTTATGTGTTAACTTGGCTTGGCTAGGGTACTCAGGTATTTAATAAAACATTGTTTGGGATGTTCCTGTTAAGATTTTTTTTTTTTTTGGGGGGGATGAAATTAACATTTAAATCAGTGGACTCTGAGTAAAGCAGATTACCCTCCATAATGCAGGGGCCACATCTAATTAGCTGGAGACCTTAACAGAACAAATACTGGCCTCCCCCAAGAAGGAATTCTGCCAGCAGACTGCTTCTAGACTTGAATTTTAATTCCTCCCTGCAGGACTACTCCATCAGATTTGGAACTTGCCAAGCCTCCACAATTGGGTGAGCTAATTCTTTAAAATAAATCTTTCTCTCTCTATATATACCATGTTGGTCTTGTTTTTCTGGAGAACCCTGATTAATACATGAGCCAAACCATCATTTCCTCTCACCTAGATGGCTGTAATAATCTCCTAGTGGGTTTTCTGCTCTCACTCTTTTCCTGCTACAGTTTTTTCTCAATAAGAGGCAAGAGTGATCCTATTCCCCCACCTCTGCTGCCCTGTTATTCACTCAGGTTCAATGATACAACACTTTTAACTTGTAGCCTGAGGTCTGGGATGACGTCCAAAATTCTCAGCTCAATCAATCTACCAAGTTTTTCTTATTCCCCTCCTCAGGGATAGGTTAGATTTTTTTATTAGAAAAAAACCTTCCTAAATTTAAAGATTGTGAGTGAAGAATGATATCAACTTATTTTCAAAAACAATTTTCTACTCTTCTGAGAATCAGACTTACTTTCTAAACACACTGTAAATACACTGAATACTAAGTCTTATATGTCTATTTGGTTAAGGTGATTGGTGGAATAAACGAGTCCAATATCAAGTACTATAACAGAATTATAGCGGAAATGAAGCAATAATATCTGTGTTACCTTAAAACACAGATCTTTAGGGTTAAAAAAAGCACCAAAAAAGCCAGTTCAGAATGTACTATCAGATTTTTAGTAAGTGAAGGTAAAGAAGAAAAAGAAGACTGAAACAGAAAAACTGAGAGGCAGACATTATATGTATGAATTTTAAGTTTGTTTTTTTAATTAAGCTAAATTTTGATTACTAAAATCAGTATTAGTTTGAATTGCATTAATAGTTAATAATTACCATGTTCATTTATCTTGCTATAATTTATTCATGAAACATTGATTATCAACCATGAACCAGATATAGGAGCTATGAAAATAATTAAAACATGGGTCTTCCTTGGGTCTAGGGAGTGTGAGAGCAGATATATAAATAAAAAAATTTAATACAGTGTGATAAGTATGATGATAAAGTATGAATAAAGTTCAGAGAAAGTATAATATCTACTTACATTAAAAAATTGTTTTTCAGCATGTGTTCTAATCTGTCCTTGGTAAGAAAAGAAAAAAAAGAAAATGTATTATTAAATGTAATTATTTCAATATATGTAATTAACATATTTCAAGAGCAGATGTACTAGGCTTTATCCACAAACTAATTACCTTTAGGCCAGGAGCTATGAATTTATGACAGAGTTCAACATCTTCAGGACAATTGGAGAGAACCGTCAATGTTGCAGACTTGAAGAGCCCCTCCATAACCTATGAAAAACAACACAGAATTGCCTGACAAGTTAGCTATTTTATATAAAAAATTTGTTTAGGGTCTTGTAAGAACTGCTCTCCAGGTTTTAGCAACCATAAATCCATCAGACTTCTTAATCCTTTAATGTGCTATAGCAAGTTAGTTCAGTTTTCCAGATTGATTAGAAGAGGCATCCCAACGTCTCAGAGGGGGTAAAAAGAGAAAGAAAAATGTTTGAATTTTTTGTTAACAGTTTCATACTGGTATTGAAGTGAGATGTCAAATAAATAGCTAAAACTGTTGGATGCCTCTTTAAATTTCAATATACTCACTTACAGAATCACAATAACAGTACCTAGGATTGTTATGAGAATTGAGATAATCCATGTAAAAGATTTAGTTTAGCATCTGGATCACAGAAGCACACAACAAATATTAGTTGTGAAGAGTGAGAAACTTTGAAAAGTGCTTCATTTAGTCATTGGTAAATGAAAGTAAACTTTAAAGTTAGAGAAGCGATGAGATATATTTACATCTAAATATATACATTTTTGCTTTGCTAAAGCAAAAAGTAAAAATAACACAAATTATATCACACAAATCAGTATGTTAAAATTCATTCTACCAGGGGTGTCCATAGAAGTCTCATGGGAAAAAATAATTTGTAGAAGAAAAAAGTGATTGGAATGGAAAATGTTTCCTCAAATATTTTTAATCAAAACTAAAATTTTTGGTTTGAAGTCAATGGACCGTATTAGGCCCTCCAAATGTACTCATAAAGATACATACGCTTTTAAGTATGGGCTGCCTCAGAGGCAGGCATCTTCCTTTCCTGTCTTGCATTACTGGTGTACCTATCACGGCTGCAAACACAGTGGGGGCATAAGCATCTACTGAAGTAATTTAATGTGATCGGATATAAGAAAGTAATTAATTACCAAGTGACAACCAGATATATTTATATATATTATATATAGTACAGGAATGAGGAATAACTTGATGAAAGAAGAGCAAAAAGAGGCTGAAGATCTTTTACCTTGAGGCTATATCACCTTCTATCTAGTAGTGTGATAAGGAAATCACTAAGTAACTGAATGATTTATGAAGGGTCATATCCTCAATACTAAAAAAAAGCCAGTGCATACTGGGAGGAAAAAAGAATGCGTAGGTTAGATGGTATGCCTATACTGCTGAGAAACACAATATACTTATGTGTAAGAGGAAGACTTTGACCACTGTAGCTGTTAAATCGGTGTCTTTCATGAGCAGTAAATTTCCATTTGAAGAAGTAAATCATTGGCTTCTCTAACCTTGACTTTCAGACTATGCTCTATAAATCTATTTAATGAAAAAAGAAACTTAACTAAAAGGTTAGCATAACCCTCAGATGTTTAAAAAATATATTAGTCAATGGCACTAAAATAGTAATATTTAATTATTATACCTCATGAGGGGAAAAAAAACCTTTGTTACCATATTCTGATTAAATATTTAAGAGACCACGCTTCATCAAGATAAAAATTTCCACAGAATTTATCAAAGGGAGAAAATTTAAGCAGGAGATTACTTTTTAGGGAGCATACTTTTTTCTTCTATCTTTAGGAAAAAAGTTTATATTTCAATTAATTAAATCATTCAACGGTGTATGCCTTGGGTACGACTCAGTAGAGTATCAACTACGTAAGAATTATTTAATTATAGAACATAATTATAGAGCAAAGATTATAATTTTAATAAATTCTAACATAATTTTATGTATGCTTCATAACCTTTCCCTCTGGTATCTATGTTGGGTCAATGGACGTCAAAGCAGAAATAGGGAGGTAAAAAGTGTGGTTCTGTTTCTTACAATACTCTCATTGCCTGAGAGAAAGAATAATACAGAATTGAGTGGTAGACTCAAAGTAAAATCTGCTTAAGGAATTTTACTGACTCCTTGTGAGGCTCAGATCCTGAATCCCTACACTCTACAAAAAGGTTACTCAACAGTGTTACTATTGACATTTTTGGCCAGATAATTCTTTGTTGGGGGGGGGGGGCAGTGTGTGGATTAGGCTGTGCATTATACAATGATGAAAAGCATCCCTAGCCTTTACCCACCAGATGACATAGCAACCACTCTCCCCTACTTCTCTGCTCACCCCCTATAAAGGACAACTAAAAAATGGCCCCTGAGGGACACTGATCTAGAACAATCAGTGGGAGATGTTAAAGGGGTACAGAAGTGAATACTGTGGTATGTGGCCAGAACACCTCTTTGAGACCAGAGTTTTATCCACTGGGAATAGTAACTGCTGATGATTCACAGTTGAATCCCTCTCCAGGAACTGTCCAGGTCAAGAGTGCTGCCTTACCCAAGGTTACACCTCTTCCTAAGGCTAGCCCATGTCTAATGACTGGTTGATGGGCAGAGGCACAAAGGCCCACTCCCTTGTCTTCAAGTGAAGCAACCATAAAGGATCATCTAATTCCAAAGTTTCTCAGAGCACTGACTCAGGCCTCTGTTTGTAAATGTATCACAGCTGACTTTTCCCTCTGCTCAGTGCTGTCTGCTTTCTTTCCTTACATGTGTTTCCTTACAAGCATCCCCTGCACATAGATCTCTGCTTTAGAGTTTGTTTCCTAGGAAATCCAACCTAAGACAGGATAATAAAATAGTGAGCCCATTTTATTAGGTGGTATATGTGGTATCTATGTTTTAAGTAGAATTGAGTCATTTGCTGGGTAAATAAGAATAGAAAGATATGTAAATGAATAGAAGTGAGAACTGATGAAAATTGCCTCCAAAAGGGTTCCTGCCGCTATTTGTATCTCCCTCTAAATCATTCTTCATATTGCTGCAAGAGAGATTTTTCTAAAATATAAATCTGACCATAGCTTTTTCCCACTGAAAATTCTTTCTTCTTTACCTTTTGAATGAAATTCAAGCTCCTTAGCATGGCCTTTAAACACAAAGTTTTTCTTTCATGTGACTCTTGACTGCCTCTCCAGCCTTATCCCTTGCCCAAAACAGAGCTCTGACAGCTCCTGTGGATAGTTTATAATATAGCTATTTAGATGTTTCTCTAACCATAGAGATATTTTATTGATTTGCCTAGCAAATACCAAGAGCTACTATTTACAGAGCCTGCTATGTATAGACCCATACTAGGTGCTTTATATTATTTACATTATTTAATTTACTCCTCACAATAACCTTATGAAATAGGTACTATTACTCCCATTTTACAATTGAAGCTAAAGATCACCAATGTTCGGTAACATCATAACAAAGTTAATGGCAGACCTGGGATATGAATTTAAATTAAGTTTACTTACTCTAAGTAAACTATGATACTAAAAGCATTCAGCAGATGTTTATTAAATTAAGTAGTTCTCCATCTTCTTCATTCTATGAATGCCTGTAATGCACAGATGTTCGAAGTAAAAAATGTATACAGAAGCATTTTTATGTCACAGATGCCTGACATTTAGAGACTATTTTAAAACTTGAGTACCTACCTTCATGAGATCTTGAAGGCTCTCAATGAAAGAAATCTCTGCTTCTACCATATAAAACTCTGCCAGGTGTCTCCGGCTCTGAGAATTCTCTGCTCGAAATGTTGGACCAAAGGTAAACACTTGAGTAAATGCTCTGCAATTCAAGATTAAGAATATAAAAATAGGATTCGCATGATTATTTTTAAGTATTTAAATACTCAGTGAGCTCTTAAGGAAAAAAGTTTTATGTGTCTGTCTTAACTACAAATCCACACATGTTAGCTGCTATATTTTTCTAATGGGTAATAATAATAGTTTCATTAAAAATGTTACACTTATAGAAACTATTTTATCCTGAAGGAATCTGCAAATGTTTTACAAACCCTATGGCTTACTAAATATAGAATTATAACCACTTCTGGGTGCACTCTACTGCAGCTGCCTTAAACAGCAGGCAACTACATTTCACAGCAATCAAGAACAAAGTAAAGGAAAAATACCACAGCCCAAAAAGCCACACAGAGAATCTAGATAGTAACTGTTAAAACTAGAATTTCAAGTGGATAAGGTGTGCTAATTATATTTTAAATATTGAAAAAATAATATCAGATAAGTATGGTGATTTGCCTTGTTCAAAGCCCACTCAAGTCCTTTACAACCACCCATGTTTCAATTAATGCTGAATGACCCCTGAAATTTCAGGGTGAGGGCAGATTTTGAAGAACTGTCTACTTTATTCTCTGTGTTTCAGAAAGGACAATAGCTCAACAATCCAAAAGAGAAAATAATTTATTTTTTAATTCCTGCAGATGTGGACACTACATCTTCATTCTTACAGTCCTCTCATATGGAAAAAGGGCAAGAGCTGAGATTAGATCAAAGGTATTTCTTAAGGACTATCTAATCTTTGAATTTTAACATTTTACTAGAACAATAGAAAAGGTTTGGAGTTCCTTAGCTATTATCCTTAGTACTTTTCATTTGTCTGTCATCAATCAAATAACATGAACATCAGAAAACATAGTGCAGAAAATAAGATTGTGTATATACGTACCAGTCTTTTTTTTTTTTTTAAGTAAAGATACTCTAGGAAATGAAACAGTAAAATAATTATAATGGGAATCAAAAGATTTATTTTTTTCTTTCAAAAGGCCAATTAATTAAGGCCTAGTTGGTAAGAAGCTTAGGAATTTGCATTTCGGTTCTAAAGCCACCTTCCTGAGACCATGAACACTTAACCTCTGAGAACCTTAGTTTCTAATGGAAAAATAAACAGTTAAGAACTCAAACTATTACTATGGTAACCTCTCTCCCAAGATTCAGATATGCAGACTTGCTTACTAGACTGTTTCTGAAAACACTGACTACCTTGTACAAAAGGAAAACTCTTGCCCTACTCCCCCAAACAAACAAAAAATAATGAACAATCCTGCTTTTCTTTCTATATTTCTCCCAGCTGTTAATCTCGGCTAATCAACCCAGTCACCTAAAACAGATTCCTCCACCCCATTTCCTGTATCATATTAAGCACAAAATTATGTTGTTTATACCTAGGAAATCTCTCTAAAATCTAGATACTTTATTTCCACAGGCCTGTCTTAGTACAAACTCTTGTGTCTTGCTTGAAAAACTACAACAGCTTTTTAAAAAAATTAGTATTTTTATTAAACTACAACTAACATACAATATTGTGTTAGTTTCAAGTGTACACCATATTTAGTTAACACTTATATACCTAAAGAAGTGACCACCACATAAAAGTCCAGCAACCACCTGACACTGTACAACACTATTACAATATTACTGACTACATTCCCTATGCTGTACACCTCATCCCAACTTATTTGCTTTATATCTGGAAACTTGAACCTTTTATTCCCTTCCACCCCTTCCCACTTCCCCGTTTTTTTGATTTTTCAATTACGGCTGACATTCAATATTATTTTATATCAGTTTCAGGTGCACAGCATAGGTTAGACATTTATATAATTTACAAAGTGGTCCCCCTAACAAATCTAGCACCCACCTGGCGCCACACATATTTATTACCATATTACTGACTATATTCTCTATGCTATATTTTACATCCCTATGACTATTTTATAACTACCAATTTGTACTTCTTAATCCCTTCACATTTTTCACCCAGTTCCCCAACACCCCTCCCACCTGGCAACCATCAGCTTGTCTCCTGCATCTATGAATCTGTTTCTGTTTTGTTTATTTAGTTCTTTAGATTCCACTTATAAGTAATATCATATGGTATTTGTCTTTGCCTGACTTATTTCACTTAACATAATACCTTCCAGGTCCATCCATGCTGCACAACAGATTTTTAATTGATGTCTGCCACCTGTCTTTCTTCCTCCAGCCCTAAGCTACTACACATTTTCCAACTTAAATTTGATATCAGCCCTAATTTAAAAATCTTTAATGATTCCTCACTGCTCCAAGGATAAAATTAAAACTCCTAACTATGACTTGACTTTCCTTCACAAAGCCTTTTCTCCAGCTACAGTGAAGACATTTTCCTTACACAGTCTTTGTATTTGTAATGCTCATCCCTTGCTCTTTTCTCTCTAAATGGCAAATGTACATCTATCCTTCCAGACTTGGCTGAAATGTCACTTTCCCTTTGTAACCTTGGCATACACCCTTCAATTTATTGTTCCCTCTTTTATGTGACTATAACCCTTTGTTCGTATATTATATAGAACATATCACTTTGAAATGTAATTGTGTATTTCAGTATCTTTCTCCTCCAATAAACTATGAAATTTTCCAGAGCAGAAATCATGTTTTATTCATCTTTGCATCTCTAGTGCCTAAGATAAAACAGGTGCTCATGTTGAATGAATGAGTACTAATGATGATAACAGGCTTCCTCAGTTGTAAACTAGAAAAGCACAATATCCTCAAAAACAGTGACATTAAAAATAATGTACAGAAAAATACTCAAACATATGTTACTGTGGCTGTTATTTAGTACTTAAAATGGGTCAAACAATCTAGGTCTTTCCCAAACAATAAATTCAAAAATTACAAGGCCGTGAGTTTCCAATCTGTGGCTCTGCAACTTCTAGGTAGGTTGTCAATAGTATATCTAAATAAATAAAATGACATTTCTTTCTGGTACTGTATCACAAGAAATTATATATACAGATGTTCACTAACAATAAAAGATATTTTATTGAGATTTTCCAGGGCATAAATAGAAACAAGGTGGCCTAGGTGAAACTGACTTTTGAGGTTGTGAGGGAGACTTACAAGAAATGATCAGTTACCCTCTTGAAATACAAGGAAGGCCAATGGGATTGCTGCTCAAAAGGGACAAGGTATTTGTATTAAGGTACCAGGTACAGGGACAGCAGTGGTTTCTAAAAGGATCTACAAATTCAGGTCACAAGGGCATCTGCTTCTCATATGGCAATTCCATGCAGGCTGCTCCAAGATGAGTAGCAATAAGGGTATTTTAACGAGGGTTAATAATTTTCCCTAGCAATGCAGGGTAACCTCTCCATTATAAAACATAAAGAGGATCAGGGATTTTTATTTTAATTATGGTAAGGATCAGGCTCTGACTGAGGTACCCAAGAGTTAAGTATTATTCTACTAGTGTAAGTAAAAACTGATGGCCATGGTGCTTCCTCTGAATTAACAGAAAGATAAAATGAACTGGATGGTATATTGAAAAATTGCCTAACTTAACATCTAGTCTTCAAGCAGATGAATGTTTAAATCATTCAATAATGATCACCTATGTCAGTGCCCTGTGTTCTATTATAAAATTAGTGATAGTAGTAGCAGTAGCATTGATAGTGTCTGCCATTAGTAAGTGCTCCTTGTGGACCAGGCATCAGATGTAAGAACCTTATAGTTAACTCTTTTATAGTTAACGCAATAAAGTATTGTTACTTCTATTTTTCAGATTAAGAAACTGAAGTTCAGAGAGGTTTAGAAGCTTTCCCAAAAGTCACAGAAGCATAGCCTAATAAATAGTAGAGGCCAGATTCAAATCCAAATCTAATTGTAATGTTCATAGCCCTAATTATATTAAAATAATGATGCTCATAACTGAACATTGGCAAACTCAGAAAATTAGAAAGAAAAATTTGTAATTCAGCCCCGCCTCCTCCTTCTCAAAGATAACTAGGGTAAGTAGTTTGGTATATTTCCATTCCTTATGAATAGCTTATTTGTTTTATGTATTAACATTATAGCTCTCTGGGATATGTTGCCTTCATGTAAATTATGAGAATGATAAATTTTCACCAATATTTTGTAAATTTTAGCAAGTCATTTAGCTTTTCTGGTCTTCAAATTCTTCCATGAGTAAAAGATTGGGGCAGCTTGGCATTAATTTCTAGTATCTTTGCAATGATTTTGTTTCTAAGTATATGTGAAGTCACTCTTATCTTAATTCATGCTGATTTTTTTATTTTTCCCTGTCTTCTACATACATGAAAGCCATTTGCAGTAAGGCTTGGGCCAACTAACATTTAAAATAAGATCTGAGAACAAGGCCATTTCTAAAATAAAATACAAAACCGGTGAAAGGCCAGTTACTGCTGTGAGAAGAGACCAGCAGAAAAAGAAAACACATAGCACTAAAAAGTATTCTTGTGCCAAATTATCGAGAGAGGAAAGCTATATAAGGAAAGTCCATGAGCTTGGAGTTGATGTTTAAGATAACAAAAGTACATTCAATACACATCAGCCAAGATAGCTACAAAAATGGCTTTTTAAAAACAAAAAGTAAAGTTACCAAGAAAAGGTTCTTCAAAGGTCATTTTCTCCCTTGAGAGGAGTTTTAAGAAGCCTTCAATTGGCAAGTGCAATAGTATAAAATGGTCACTGATTGCCTGGCCATTTATTCTTTCTGGTCTTGAAATTTAAGAGCTGATATTTATATTTTGAAAGAATAGAGGAATTACTTCTCTTTAGCTGGGGAAGAACTTATTTAGCAACTTCCCCAAAGTCCCCCCAATTCTCAACCTCCTATCTGTCAATAAATGTTTACTGAACTGAAATGAACTCACATCTTTAAACTGGCTTTTACAACAGTCTTTGTCAAGCAGTATTCTCATCTTTCAGAAAATAATAATCTACTTTACTACTGCTTTGTATCCATTGGATTATCAATACTGTGACTTA